TAAGTTCAACAATCCAATTGGAAGAAACAACTTTCCCATTAACCAAACTAATAAAAATGGATGAAATAGACCAATTGTAATAATTTTTGAAATTTGTTTTGAAAATTTCGTCCCCTATTTTGCCCAAAAGTAATCATATTTATTGTGTCAAAACCATCAAATTGAATTTCAGAAATATACACAATAGAGTCCCGATTAAAAAAATGAAATTTGACAGCACGCAAACCACTTCTTGACACCAATAATAAGCAAACCCCATTAGCGAATGACAAATGAGGCCCACCGTCAACGAGAGTTACAAGCTGAGAGCCAATCACCAATTTCTGGGCAAAATTTCCACTTTTCTGGGGAGGTTTCGTTAAACTTGGAACAAAGATAAAGGGAAAAAGATCAAACACAAAAAATACAGGTTGAAGGAAATGGAACAACTATAAACAAAAAGAGGAAAATGAAGATTTCATGATAACTTCAAAATATCACCCTTTTGAAGCACATTTTGATCATAATATGTAATGAAATAAAGCTCAACCTAAAACCCAATTTATAACCAAATTACACAAAAGTTGAAGCTCATACATATATAGGGAAACACCTGCCAAAGGATTTTTGCTTTGATTTGGGTTGGATATCTTAAAAGATCGAAAACAAAATGGGGAAAAATCGATTATTTAACAACACAACTTAAAAACTAGAAGAAACATACATAAGAGTAAGAAATTGAAGGCGTGAGAAGTATACTTACCCGTATATGTCTCAATTCCTGCAAATTGTTTGTATTTTTTCCTACCATTGAGAGAGAGAGAGAGAGAGAGAGATTAGGGTTAAAGCAAGAGAAATTCGTCAAAAAAAAAAAAAAAAGAAGCAAAAATGTAGGAAGAGCACCTCAGAAGAGTAATAAAAATGAAATCATGCTTTGTGCCTCCAGTGTTCCTGCACCTCCAGTATTGGACTGCTTATTTGGCAATTCTCACTCCAATAACTACAAGCAAAGGTGCGAGAATACTGGTTACTATGTAGGCTCTGATTTTTGTGTGAAAAATGGGTTGTTTGTAGTCTCTAATTTTTGTGTGAAAAATAGAGAAATAGAAGATTGTAGGTAGGAGAAAGAAAAATGGAAACGATGGTTGTGTATTGAAATTGAAATAATTTTGAAACTGTTAAAATCGGGATGGGGTGAAAGAATGAGATTCAACACTATTGTAGATATTGCATCTCCAAATATTAGAAAAGGCATGACCATAACGTATGAAAATGGAGAACGGAAAAGGCAAGACCAGTAACTTGGGATTGGTTTACTATTCCTTCTATAGTAGCAACTACTTCCCCTTTTTAAGAGAAGTTAGATGAGTGAATCCTTAGCATAGACTAGAGAGAAGGGAAACATACACCACCATTTTTTTTTTAATAAATTGAGTTAGGGTAATAATTATAGAATTATTTTGTTGTGTTCATGAAAAGTATATTTTAATTACTGTGTGCATAAAAGTGATGTAAGAAATAATATTTGTGGGAACAATATATATTGGCCTTTTAATTTTTTATTGAATTAGAACTATAATTATAAATTTGTTATGGTGCAATTATTGAAAATGTGTTCTAATTTTGGTGTGATTATAATATACTGTAAGTAAAATTTGTTGCGGTAATATAACTACCCCTCAAAATAGATATTATAACACTGTGTGTAAATTAGTATAATTAATTATGATTGATTTACTCATAATGCTTATGTTAAAGCATATTTTTGGCCAATTATTATTTATAATAGTGTTTATGTACAATAAAGGTCCGTCTGATTGCGAAGATTGAATTTGGGTGAAAAAAACGAATTCTAGAGAACTGAATTGCCTACAAATTATTTTCCTGAAATTTGTAAATTTATTGTATTTGATTGATATAATTTTTCAAGTTGAAAATGTTGAAATAAAAGTGTTTTTGGTATTCGTTTGACTTTGTTTTATATGAAAATTGTCAATTAAAGTAAAGGGATAAATTTTACTGGTAGGGGAGATAGAATTTGTTACCATGGCCTAAAAAAAAAATCAAGAAAATCATCTGTTTTTGGTGTTCGTTTGACTTTGTTTTATATGAAAATTGTCAATTAAATGAAAATATTTTTTTTTTTTTTTTTTTTACAATTACGGATAGAATTTGTTTCCATTACCCAAAAAAAAAAACCTGGGAATTCCATTTCCCACCATATAGGTGGGAAAACAAATTCAATGAAAAGCTGGAAATGGTCACCATGTGAAGCAAACCTGGAAATTCAATTGTCAAAAAATAAATGCCTATCAAACACCAACAAAAGTGGAAAATGGAATTTCCATTTTCCATGTAATTGGAAGTGAATCAAAAACTACCTAATAGATATCGGATCATAATAATCGATACATATTTATTAGGGAAAAATTGATTATTCTTATATTTAACTTTACATTTTGGGGAATGTGAAATATTCCGCAAAATTACAAAATCAGGTCATTGTCACACACACACACACAGAGACATATATAAACATATATATCAGTGAACGTATGAAAATAGCACCTTTTATTTAAATTATACTAAAATATAAAAAAAATAATATTTACTCTTTAAAAAACAATGATCGACGAAATCAACAATTGAAGTATTTGCTAATTTTGGCATACATTGCTGTAATTAGAAGAAACGTTGAAGGTATGTTGTGAGTTTTATTATAGGGAATGTGAATCGTTCCACCATGTGATCATGTATCACATTTGTAACATATAATGTGCTTTTAAAACAATTTACTCCGATATATTCTAAATCGTATGATTGCGATCAATTTATATGTCATGAGTTCACATGAGATGTGATAAATAATCGTGACTCTAACTATTCCTATCTTTAAGAATTGCAATAATTTTGTGTGATGATTATTCAAGTAAACTTAAATGATTCCCAACTATGACATTGTGACATTTGACGAGAAGTTTAGCAACATATAATTATGGCTCGTATGAGTCATATCCATTCTATATTGTAGAATTGTAACCTTTTGACCATGTAAATGAACGATAATGATTATACTTCTTAATACAAATCCAGTGAACGATTTACACACCCCCTATATCGCGATAAAAAAAAGAGAATATATCATTTAAGTAATCTTAATTTTGAAAATAGCATCAGAATTGTAAAATTATAAATTGTAAATGAAATTATCAAGTTTTTGAATTAATTAAATTCCTAAACATTTGATTAAATTATTTTTATTAGTAACTTAATTTGTCAAAAGTAAAAGTTAAATATTCGTTTGGTCTAATTTTTAATTTATTACTTGGTCACTGTTTCGGTCCAATTTTTTTAAAAATACAATTTTCTCAATACTCATTTTCAACCTTATATTCTCATATAAAATAATGTTACACGTAAACTCAAAATTTTTCATTATTTTTTAACAACACATTCTCCAAAAATCATTATTTGAAAATATATTTTCCATAAAAATCTCATTTCAGTCACTGTTTGACAACTATTATTTGAAAACTTTTTTTTTATAAACTCATGTTCAATTATGTATTCACACAATAAATATTTTACACGTAAACTTAATTTTTTTTTAACTTTTTAATTCCACATTCTTTTAAAATTAATATTTAAAATTTTATTTTTTTAATAATGATCGTCAAATAGCGGCTTAATAGAGACAATTAGCAGCTTAGGCCATGTTTGATTCTCATTTTGAGAAAAATGCATTTTTTTCTCTTTTCTTTTTAACCACACATTCATCATTAAAATAATATTACACGTAAATAAAAAAAAATTCTTTATTTTTCATCAACACATTCTCCATCAATTTACTATACTAAAATTCATTTTTCCATAAAAATTGGTGTCAAAAACTCTCTAGGTCCATTGATAACTGGATTAGAATGTGAAAAGATCTTGTAAAGCCCAATTAGAAAGCATGTATATCCAACCATAACCTATGTCCGTTAAAGTGTTATTCTGTTATTCATGGAGCGAAGGGGGACAAATGAAACGGCAAAAGGTTTCTTCCTCTAGATTATATTGTGCTCGGTGTATTTTCATCGTCCAGCCAGTAGCAACCCCTCCCCTAATATGCACATATTGTTCCTTTTATATAATGCAACCTAAGTCATTATATGCTGCAGAGAGTGATACCTGGGAACATCATCATTCGTCAAAGGGGAACACGAAATTATGTTGGAATCGGCAAAGATCACACTCTCTACGCTTTAAAGGAAGGCTGTGTCAAGTTTGAGCGAACGCAAGTGGGTGCATGTCGAGCCAAAGGATGTTCATGAGGTCCACCCCGTCTATGCAAGTCCCAAGACGAAGACAGCAGCTTAAAGCCTTAAATTTAATATCTTCTTGAGACTATATTGCTGATGTAAACTTTCACCCGTAGATAGTGTTCATCTATCAAGTAAGCTGATAATACTTAAATTCTGCCTCTAATTTTGAAAGCTAAATAGCTTGGTTGTTTTCTGTTTTTCAGATCATTTAAATTTTTAGGTTACCATAAATAAATCTGTGTTGCAATTGCAATCTTTTATTGGGTTTTTCTATGTTAAAATTATATGCTTACAGAACATCATTTTGTCATCAAATTTACATCAAGATTGAAATTTGTTAGTTTATGTACAACAGTAATTAGTGGTGCGAATTGCAAAAGATTCTGCACGCGATTCTATTGAAGAAACTTCATTAGGTGTCCAGTGTGCTGAAATGTCGCCCCTACTTAGGCACCTGCCATTTGTGAATCACATAGCCGAAAAACCTGTGTTATTCCCTGGAAACAGTATCTGCAGACTGGAGTGTATTTTGCTTGTGTACATTCCCAGCTATCTTGAAGCGATTATACCTCCTTGGCCGTGATGTTCTTGGCTCAAGTAATCTTTCTTAGGAAGTGCCAGAACTTATTAGTGTCCTGTTCTTCGACTAATGCAGTTTGGACAATGAAAAATTGTTGGGAAAGATGAAAAGACAATGTGCATTTCCCTGTTTGGTAGTTCAGAAGAATATGTAATTCTTGTGTATGATCTAGATCAAAACCTAGTTCCTTTTCTTTTGTCTCTTTTTTTCTCCCTTTTCTCTTTCACGTCATCTATCTGTTCACTATTATATAAGCAATAATATACAAATAACATTATTCATGATATGTTCTTGAGTTATTCAAATCTTCCAAATCTTTAAGCACAGATTTCATTTGCGGCCGTGATGAGGGAACGGGATCGAGGCAAGATTTTGCAAGACCAGCCACAGCCCATAGATTGTCAAACTCACACACATTCGAAATTAATAATGAAGGGTCAATAATGCTTGTCTTGTTACCTTCGTCGATGTGACGTAGCATCACTTGCAACCAATCCTGTGCCATGACATCACTCTTCGCACTGATTCCCAGTTTTCCTGTTACTAACACAAGTAGAACCTTTCCAAAGCAGTAAACATCAGATTCACAAGATCCTATAGCTCTACCTGGCCAGGTGGAAACAGAAATGAATTTTGGAAATTGGTTGAACTAAAATACTTCATTTGATGGTTTTTGAATCAACTTAAGAGTGTTATGCGCATATTAATGGTCTCTGTGATCTGAAAATCCACACTAAAAGGAGCATACGTTTCTACCCTTTAAGTAGTTCAATAAGTCAAGATGAAAACAATAATGTACATCAGAAGAAATTTATACAAACCAGAAGCGTCTTCTTCATATATCCTGCACAAAACGAATACAAGCTAGTGTCAGCATCCTCTTTAAGTGTTGCAGCATAATAATAGCAGTACATAAATCACAATGCAAATGGTATTAGTTCTTGTTACAATTTCAGTATGTCCGATGATTTCGGAACTGCATTGCTTTGGACATCACTCCTCGTACTGATTCCTCGTTTTCGCGTTACTAACTCAACCAGAACCTTTCCAAAGCGAGAAACACCAGATGCCCATGATCCAATACCTGGCCAGTTTAAAACAGATATGAAATTTCGAAATAGGTTTAACTAAATTCTTCATTGAGTAGTCTTTGAATGAACTTAGGAGAATTACGAGCAGGAGGGTGGAAACTTTTCCACTTTATCAGGTCATTTGCATAAGAATGATCTGAGAATGCATACTGCTCTACCCCAAGTAAAGATTTTAAAGAAAATGCACGATTATACAGAAAGTTTCACAAACTGAAAGTGTCTTCTTGATATGAACTGTCTTCTTGATAGGTCCTGCATGCAAAGAATAAACACAAGTGTTAGGGTAATCCTGGTAATATAAGTGCTGCAGCATAATAGGAAGGAAATCTAAATTAATCATAAAGAAAAGTTCTGTCAGCTCTTCGAGAGTGCTCATAGCAGACACTGGTACATCTGAAACTGAATTAAAATATTGTGTTAAAGCAGTTGCAATCAATCACCTGGTAATCCTGTCTAGGAGAGTGTTTTCTTCATTGCAGGCTCGACTTAGGCTCCCTAATTTCACATCATAATTATCATCAAGAAGTATGCTGCTGGCTTGAACATCTCTTCATGAGTTCACAAATTTTTTACCAAAATTAGATCCATTGGGTAGGATTAAAGCTTAAAACACGAAAAGTAAAGAATTTATTCCTTAGCTTTAAACATGTGAATGAAAAAAGCAAAATAACACATTTGGTGGACTGTTCTTAATCTCAAGTCTCTTTATATTCAACCACTATATCAGAAAACATAAGTAGTTTGAGAATATCAAGACGAGGACAGAGTTACAAGGAATACCCGTGAACAAGAGGTGGATTACACTCATGATGTAGATATACTAAACTCTTTGCAGTCCCAATTGCGATTTGCATTCTAGTTCTCCAACTCCACAATTTTAAACCGATATTGCCATTAGGCTTCGTAAAAGAGAAACTGGACAAGTCTCCATTGGGCACATACTCGTAAACTAGAAATTTGATATCCTCGTCTTCAAAGCAATGTCCCAAAAGACGTACAAATCCTGAATGAGCGACCTTGCTATAAAATTCCAATTCTGAAATGTATTCATATGGACTGACTAACAGCAAATCAATTCTTTTGATGACGACACTGGTTGAAGAATCCAATTTTCCTCGAAAGAGATCTCCTGAGCGACCGCACTTGATTAGGTGTTTATCAGCGAAACTATCAGTGGCGTTTTGAATCTGCTCATACTCGAATGATTTGCTGATTTTGGAGAAGTTGAGGAAAAATGAATGGAAACCCGGAGGAAATTCTGAGGAGATTGAGCTGGCAGTCGAGCACTGTCTGGCAATCTGCCGAAGCTCTGCTCTTAGCAGAGTGGCTCGGACTAGCCTCTCCCAGTTGTCGTAAGCCAGAACCATCTTAGTTTCAGCTTTGCTAACTCAGGTTCATATGCATCTGGTATATATTTGTAAAATTGTATAACGTAGGAATTGGATCAAGTCAACTGCATATCCCTGCCCTCAATCCCTTGCTTGCTAAGTCTATGTTTCTAAGTCTACATTTTTTACTGAGAAAATTAGGTCCAGTGCTACATAAAGTCAATAAAATGAATGATTTTAGGAAAATTGCAACAACGGTCCCAAATCTTTGAACCTTTTACAAACTTTACCTTAACTTTTAATTTGTGCCATCAACGATCTCAAACCTTTAAAAAATTAGAACCTTCTCTTTCCGACATCGTATCACACAATTTTTTTATGTCTCACAAAGATTTCACTCGGAAAACACTCACTATGGCTTTTTCCCTCTATTAAACTCACCACTCGGCCTTTTACCACTCAAACTCTCCCTCCAAGCACTTCAAAGAACTAAGTGAACTAAATCAATTGTTTTACCGACAATTCAAACAAACTGAATATTAATCAAAGACCACGAGACTCAAAGGACTTGAATAAGTGGAATAGATGAATGTTTTGACACGAATATGTTATAGACTCAAAAGAAGAATGACAGATTCGAACCCAATTGAATATCCCAAAAATCAAACACAATGTAGGAATTATTGTTGGTAAAAAAAACACAAAATCAAACAATGATATCAAATTTTTATATATATATATATATTTTTTGTTTTTGTGAACAATGCTTCGAGATGAACAGTACCTCGAATCTATAGTAACCCTTTTTTTTCGTTTTTGTACTCTTTTTTTTTTTTTCTCCTTGATGAAAGAAGATGAGTAAACTACCAACAACTCAACAAAATGATGAAAAGAAAACAAGAATGAAGAAAAAACTAAGAAAGAAAAATTAACGACCCAAACAAATAAAGAAAAGATATAACCTTCAATTAATTTGGAGCCAAAGTTCTGATACCAACTGATGCGAACCCCGTAGCAGCGTTGACTACGAAGCCCATAATGAGATTAACGAACTCAAGAAAGCCAAATTAATCCAAAATTTAGTATTAACCCAAAAGAAAGACGAACCAAAAAACTCAATAAGAACGACGCTTGAAAGACCCCTTGATCACGCAATCCAAGAATTAAATCTGGTTGTTTGAACGCCACAAGTTAACACTTGAGAAGTTCGAAATTGTTCAATTAAGAACGATGAAGAGAAGACAATACGCCTCACTTTTAATTCAATATCAATAATGTCAAAAGGCCTTTAACAATTGAATGGAAACTCCTATTTATACTAAACCTAAAAACTAGATAAAAATCGTGCAAAAGTCGAGCAAAATCTCCAAAATATGGAATAAAATCAAAAGCTAACATAATATGGAAAATTGCCAAAATTGAAAAATTCGACAAATTTTTGGCCTGTGCGGTCGCATGATTCAACAAAAATTCCAATTAAAGTTTCGGTATGCCACTGTGCGGCCGCATGGTGTTTTGCCTGTGCGGCTGCAAAGGCTTGTTTTCAGCATCTGGTTTCGTCGCCTAATAACAAATTGATCCAAATTGATTCGACCTTCGACCCGAACATGAAAATTGTTCCATTTTGAGTCCCAAACATGGTTCCATCAATGGTTTCTTGAACGAGCAATCCAATCGTTTGTTTCACTTGCTTTGCTTTTGATTGCGTCATTGGTCCGCCATCGACTATCAACGAGTCTCGTCTCGCACTTGCTTTCGTCGGGCTTGACTCCTGGATCATATCATGTTGTGTTTCTAAAATTAAGTTATATTCTATATTTGGTTAATGCAAGTGAAGTATAATCACATAGCGATAATATGTAGAAGAAAATAACTATTCCCTGGATAAATTCTAAGATTTTGATTAGTATTTCTCATTTTTTTTGAGTGGTTTGTTACTTCCAACTTATAGTGCATTATATTCCTAAAATGAGGTTATATTCCATGATAAGTATAATTCATGCACTTATTTAGACTATATTACTAAATTTTTATGTTGTCAAAATATTAATTTCTATTTAACTTGGGTTGATTTTCTTTTTGTTTTTAGTGATTGACTCGTTTGAAACAATTGGAAAGGAATAAAGACAAAATCGAATAAAATCTATAATTTCGGATCAAATTACACAAGTTTGAATTTGAGAAGGACATTGGTTGCACATGGATGACTTCAAGGACTAAACTGAATGATTTTAAAAGAATTGAGGGCTTGAAGAAAAATATACATTAAATGGGCCTCAAGTAGAGCTAGCATGGTCCGGTTCGGTTTGATTCTCTTTAGAATCGAACCGAACCAAAAATTTCAGGTATTTAGTAAGTGAAATTGTCGGATTCAAATATAGTTATGGAACCGTTTGGGTTTGGTTCCATATCATAATTACATTTTTTAACATTTACAACAACACTACATAAATACAACTAATAACATATTCAATCATAGCTTTTCCAAATTAATGAAGTCCAATTCAAAAACATATCAATAACAAGTTGTCCAATAAGATTAATTTAACAACATATATAAATACCAAAAATTAGATATTAATACTAAAATATTGGCGATCCATATCAATAATTCATTTTCTTCAACATTCAAGCCTTCAAGTCTACATAAAACACAAGTGTTAGGGTAATCCTGGTAATATAAGTGCTGCAGCATAATAGGAAGGAAATCTAAATTAATCACAAAGAAAAGTTCTGTCAGCTCTTCGAGAGTGCTCATAGCAGACACTGGTACATCTGAAACTGAATTAAAATATTGTGTTAAAGCAGTTGCAATCAATCACCTGGTAATCCTGTCTAGGAGAGTGTTTTCTTCATTGCAGGCTCGACTTAGGCTCCCTAATTTCACATCATAATTATCATCAAGAAGTATGCTGCTGGCTTGAACATCTCTTCATGAGTTCACAAATTTTTTACCAAAATTAGATCCATTGGGTAGGATTAAAGCTTAAAACACGAAAAGTAAAGAATTTATTCCTTAGCTTTAAACATGTGAATGAAAAAAGCAAAATAACACATTTGGTGGACTGTTCTTAATCTCAAGTCTCTTTATATTCAACCACTATATCAGAAAACATAAGTAGTTTGAGAATATCAAGACGAGGACAGAGTTACAAGGAATACCCGTGAACAAGAGGTGGATTACACTCATGATGTAGATATACTAAACTCTTTGCAGTCCCAATTGCGATTTGCATTCTAGTTCTCCAACTCCACAATTTTAAACCGATATTGCCATTAGGCTTCGTAAAAGAGAAACTGGACAAGTCTCCATTGGGCACATACTCGTAAACTAGAAATTTGATATCCTCGTCTTCAAAGCAATGTCCCAAAAGACGTACAAATCCTGAATGAGCGACCTTGCTATAAAATTCCAATTCTGAAATGTATTCATATGGACTGACTAACAGCAAATCAATTCTTTTGATGACGACACTGGTTGAAGAATCCAATTTTCCTCGAAAGAGATCTCCTGAGCGACCGCACTTGATTAGGTGTTTATCAGCGAAACTATCAGTGGCGTTTTGAATCTGCTCATACTCGAATGATTTGCTGATTTTGGAGAAGTTGAGGAAAAATGAATGGAAACCCGGAGGAAATTCTGAGGAGATTGAGCTGGCAGTCGAGCACTGTCTGGCAATCTGCCGAAGCTCTTCTCTTAGCAGAGTGGCTCGGACTAGCCTCTCCTAGTTGTCGTAAGCCAGAACCATCTTAGTTTCAGCTTTGCTAACTCAGGTTCATATGCATCTGGTATATATTTGTAAAATTGTATAACGTAGGAATTGGATCAAGTCAACTGCATATCCCTGCCCTCAATCCCTTGCTTGCTAAGTCTATGTTTCTAAGTCTACATTTTTTACTGAGAAAATTAGGTCCAGTGCTACATAAAGTCAATAAAATGAATGATTTTAGGAAAATTGCAACAACGGTCCCAATTCTTTGAACATTTTACAAACTTTACCTTAACTTTTAATTTGTGCCATCAACGATCTCAAACCTTTAAAAAATTAGAACCTTCTCTTTCCGACATCGTATCACACAATTTTTTTATGTCTCACAAAGATTTCACTCGGAAAACACTCACTATGGCTTTTTCCCTCTATTAAACTCACCACTCGGCCTTTTACCACTCAAACTCTCCCTCCAAGCACTTCAAAGAACTAAGTGAACTAAATCAATTGTTTTACCGACAATTCAAACAAACTGAATATTAATCAAAGACCACGAGACTCAAAGGACTTGAATAAGTGGAATAGATGAATGTTTTGACACGAATATGTTATAGACTCAAAAGAAGAATGACAGATTCGAACGCAATTGAATATCCCAAAAATCAAACACAATGTAGGAATTATTGTTGGTAAAAAAAACACAAAATCAAACAATGATATCAAATTTTTATATATATATATATATTTTTTGTTTTTGTGAACAATGCTTCGAGATGAACAGTACCTCGAATCTATAGTAACCCTTTTTTTTCGTTTTTGTACTCTTTTTTTTTTTTTTACTCCTTGATAAAAGAAGATGATTAAACTAGAATAACTAAACGAAACGACGAAAAGAAAAACAAGGACGAAGAAGAACTAAGAAAGAACAATTAAAATAGAATAAGAAACTAAGAAAACAAAATTAACAACTCAATAAATAAAGAAAAGATATAACCTTCAATTAATTTGGAGCCAAAGTTCTGATACCAACTGATGCGAACCCCGTAGCAGCGTTGACTACGAAGCCCATAATGAGATTAACGAACTCAAGAAAGCCAAATTAATCCAAAATTTAGTATTAACCCAAAAGAAAGACGAACCAAAAAACTCAATAAGAACGACGCTTGAAAGACCCCTTGATCACGCAATCCAAGAATTAAATCTGGTTGTTTGAACGCCACAAGTTAACACTTGAGAAGTTCGAAATTGTTCAATTAAGAACGATGAAGAGAAGACAATACGCCTCACTTTTAATTCAATATCAATAATGTCAAAAGGCCTTTAACAATTGAATGGAAACTCCTATTTATACTAAACCTAAAAACTAGATAAAAATCGTGCAAAAGTCGAGCAAAATCTCCAAAATATGGAATAAAATCAAAAGCTAACATAATATGGAAAATTGCCAAAATTGAAAAATTCGACAAATTTTTGGCCTGTGCGGTCGCATGATTCAACAAAAATTCCAATTAAAGTTTCGGTATGCCACTGTGCGGCCGCATGGTGTTTTGCCTGTGCGGCTGCAAAGGCTTGTTTTCAGCATCTGGTTTCGTCGCCTAATAACAAATTGATCCAAATTGATTCGACCTTCGACCCGAACATGAAAATTGTTCCATTTTGAGTCCCAAACATGGTTCCATCAATGGTTTCTTGAACGAGCAATCCAATCGTTTGTTTCACTTGCTTTGCTTTTGATTGCGTCATTGGTCCGCCATCGACTATCAACGAGTCTCGTCTCGCACTTGCTTTCGTCGGGCTTGACTCCTGGATCATATCATGTTGTGTTTCTAAAATTAAGTTATATTCTATATTTGGTTAATGCAAGTGAAGTATAATCACATAGCGATAATATGTAGAAGAAAATAACTATTCCCTGGATAAATTCTAAGATTTTGATTAGTATTTCTCATTTTTTTTGAGTGGTTTGTTACTTCCAACTTATAGTGCATTATATTCCTAAAATGAGGTTATATTCCATGATAAGTATAATTCATGCACTTATTTAGACTATATTACTAAATTTTTATGTTGTCAAAATATTAATTTCTATTTAACTTGGGTTGATTTTCTTTTTGTTTTTAGTGATTGACTCGTTTGAAACAATTGGAAAGGAATAAAGACAAAATCGAATAAAATCTATAATTTCGGATCAAATTACACAAGTTTGAATTTGAGAAGGACATTGGTTGCACATGGATGACTTCAAGGACTAAACTGAATGATTTTAAAAGAATTGAGGGCTTGAAGAAAAATATACATTAAATGGGCCTCAAGTAGAGCTAGCATGGTCCGGTTCGGTTTGATTCTCTTTAGAATCGAACCGAACCAAAAATTTCAGGTATTTAGTAAGTGAAATTGTCGGATTCAAATATAGTTATGGAACCGTTTGGGTTTGGTTCCATATCATAATTACATTTTTTAACATTTACAACAACACTACATAAATACAACTAATAACATATTCAATCATAGCTTTTCCAAATTAATGAAGTCCAATTCAAAAACATATCAATAACAAGTTGTCCAATAAGATTAATTTAACAACATATATAAATACCAAAAATTAGATATTAATACTAAAATATTGGCGATCCATATCAATAATTCATTTTCTTCAACATTCAAGCCTTCAAGTCTACATAAATAAAATAAAATTCTTGAATTAGAATTCATAGAGATATATTTTTAAGTATTACTAATACTTACCAACTATTTGATTTTATCATCAATTGTTTGACTTGCTATACGAAGAAACTCCACAAAAAGAATTGAAAAAGCACAATTAACAAACATAAATAAACTAAAAATTGTTCAACTAATAAGATTTAATAAGAAAAAGAAAACATATATATTATTACTTGTCTCAATGCTCTCATAAAACTTTGTCTCTTCAATGCAAACTCTATCTTGGGAAACTTTCAAAAGTCTATATTCTTCCATTAGTCAGTTTTGTGTACAAATCAAGGCCTCGGCTGTTTTAGGAGCTAAAGAACTCCTAAATGGATAAAACATGTGCCCTTCAGTACTAACAACCGACTCAATCAATCAATCACCTAATTAGTTAATTTGTTAATTTGTTTAGAAAAATTTAAATAATTGGATTTATTCAATATAAAAAAATAGAAAGATTCAGTTTTTGGTCTAGAACTGAGAACTAAAACGTACCCGTCGATTCCCGATTCAGATACCCGTTCAAGTATTTGACTTGAGAAGAACCGTCAGGTTCTGTTCGGGAGTTTTGTCAAGCCCTAACCTCAAGTTTGGACATGTATTTGGAATGAAAGTTAAAAAAAAATAAAAAAATAAAACAACAATTGGAGTTTTGTTGGAAAAAGAGCTACTTGCTGAAGAGTTTATATATAGATATACACATGACTTGCAGCCTAAAATGTAAATACATGGATACAGAGGCGGAGAGGGGGAGATATACACACACAATTGGGTGGTTGCGGCAGAGAAATAACATTGGAGTTCCTTTTGGGGAGTCAAACATTGTTGCTGGGGATTGATTTCATATACAGAGACAACAGCAATTGTTTTGTGAACCCCTACCCTGTACCTCAAGCATTTCCCATTATTTTTACAAACAGAGACAGAAGTAGAATTGCACAGACACATATTGGAGGACGGCAGCTCAATCGAATTGAAGGCACACTAATAGGAAAATTAATTGCGTTCCTTCAATTTTTGGTGATTTCTTTTATCCTTTATTTGTTTTATTCCAACATTATGTTAGTCTAATACTTTTCATGTATTGAATGATGATGAAACCCTTTTCTATTTATTTTTAAGTCAAGATAAGTATCTTAGTTAAACTTTTACAATTCTTGATTAATCTTGTATGCTAAATTCTATTATTTGGTTGTTTAATCATCAATTTGCATATATTGTTGCTTGCTATAGTGCTAGGAGGCTCACGATAGATTAAAAACACTCCTTGATTAATACACATGTAATAAATTTTAGGAATAATGTTTATCACGCATGCAATCTTTCAGATAATTGTGAAATTGAATGCGATCTATTCATTCAAATTCAGACTCGAAATAGATTCGGGTTATGACTAAAATAGATTTAATTGGCCTTGGGAAAGAAAATTAATTACAATATCGATCCTCAAGAATGCAAGAACGAACTCACTATGTAATTGAGAATTGGAATAGATATTTATACGTGGATTTGTAATCCAATACAATCATTCTATACATACTAAATTCAAATTTTACAAGCTTTAATTGATTAATTTAGAATAATCATAAACTACAATCACTTTTGTTTTGCCTACTTTGAATCTAATTAAAGAATAGTACACTCAATTGAATTTCAGTTCTCGTGGGACGATACACATTACTTATTATGTATTACTTGTCAACGATCCCATACACTTCCAGATTTCGCATGAACATTCCATATTTAATTAATATATGTGAGAACAATCACAAAGAGACAATATGTAGAAGAAAATCGATTGCCATTGGATCCATTATAAGGTTTTGATTGGCATTCCTCACTTTTTCGGCTTTTTTGAATTTCTATCATTTTTGAAATTCTATCACTCTTTTGAGTGTTTGTTATTTTTTTTTGAATCTCCGTCCTTTTTTTCACTTTATTGAATTTATACTACTTCCAACTTATAGAGGGTTGTATTTTTAAAATGAAGTGAAGTATAACTGCATTTAAAAAAATAAATAAATAAAATCAACCACCCCCTTTACCTATTCTAAGGTTTTGATGGGCATTTCTCATTTTCTTGAATGTTTGTGGCTTTTTTTTTTAAAATTTTTGTCATTTATTGAATTGCTTCCATATATAATGCAACAAAAACAGAGTTCATTTAATCTTTCAAATAGAAAAAGTGACATTATACGTCACTTTTTAATTAAAAAGTGACAATTAACTTTTCACAATATTTTACTTATAAAACACCTTTCATATGATTTTTGAAAAGGCCCTGATTTTAAGGATATTTGATGTGA